CCGTCTTGGAGGCTTCCCGAAGCTCCGCCACAACGGCCCCGGAGACGCGGACGCCTCCCGCGCCGCCGCTCTCGCTCCGCTCCTTCACCTGCCCGCGGCGGAAGCCTTTGGCGGCGCCACTTCCGGCCCCTTCCGCCTCCCCTAGAGATAGGCGAGAGTTGAGAGAGGCGTGCTGCCGACACTTCCGCCGCCATCATAAACTAAAGAGTTAAATACGGTTGGGAGGTGCCTCAGAGCTAAGAAGCGAGGCGCATAAAAAGTAACGCAGGAATCCAGGAAAGTATCGGAAAACGTCCGCATCGTCCTGCACGCAGATATACATTATGCATAGCCTTTATCTTCTCTATAAACGTGAAGATGCCCGGCTTTTCCCTTCTCTGTATACAGAAAGAGCCATGGCTTTTGCCTTCTCTACACATTTTCTATCTCTATCTCTCCCCGCCTCCTCTGGGATCGGCCAATCAGCGCGCTGCTCTCGCCTCTTCCCAGCCAATCCATGCAACGCTGTGCAGAACTGAGTCCCACCGAGCTTCAGGCGACTGACTTCTCCGAAAAACGGGCAGGGGGAGCTTTTCCAGAGGCGTAGGAACTACAGCTCCCAGAATTCCCTCTCCGCGGCTTGGGCTCTGGGGCTTTCTCGTGCCTGCGCGTGTGTAAGGCGGCTGGTGCAGAACGTTGCCCCTGTATCTGGCTTTGCAATCCGTGGGACTTACGCTGCCAGCATAAAATGCTCCCCTGAAAGCGCTCGACCATGCCTGGTCGTCGGATTTTCCACCTGGCACGGCCATGGATTGCAAGCGCCCCGGGGTTATCTTTGCAGCCGGTCCTTTCACCAACAAGTCAAGACAATCGTCCTCGCATACCCGGGTTTTGGATGGATTGACACCAGGAAGGCAACACCAAGAAAATTCTGGCTTTGATTAGTGTGACGCATCGTTATTCCACTCTCTGCAACAGGAAGATAGTTTACACCGGTGTTTTTCACACTTGGCAACTTGAAGATGGGTGGGCCTTCAATCCCCCCGACACCCCCCCCCCCCCCCCC